AAAGAAAATATAAGCAATAACAACTTAGCCAAAAGGCAAGTTACTTATCTAAAATGGACAATCAAGTGACAACAGCAGGAGCTATCTCACATTATGAATATAATCTCTTCTAATAGGAAAAATTTGAGTCTACCTAAATATATGTAATTCAGAGTTTTTAAAAAATGTATTATTCTCTCAATTTAAAAGTAACCTAAGTTTCTAATGAACCCAAAGTATCACTGGCAAAGCTTCAATAACAACTGTGCACGTACACGTATATATGCTTTTCCCAGGAATGTTTGGGTTTCGGATGACATTCGCATGCTTCAGTATGTATATGTGTAGCTGATTCACTTTGTTATAAAGCAGAAAGTAACACACCATTGTAAAGTAACTATACTCCAATAAAGATGAGGAAGGAAGGAAGGAAGGAAGGAAGGAAGAAAGGAAGGAAGGAAGAAAGGAAAGAAGGAAAGAAAGAAAGAAAGAAAGAAAGAAAGAAAGAAAGAAAGAAAGAAAGAAAGAAAGAGAAAAAGAAAAAGAAAAAGGGTGAGGCTTATATCTAAACTGAGAGACAGAAAACAATGATGATGCCTTCACACAATTTTTACCATATAAATAAAAAAGTTCTTGGGCTTCCCTGGTGGCGCAGTGGTTGACAGTCTGCCTGCTGATGCAGGGGACACGGGTTTGTGCCCCGGTCCGGGAAGATCCCACATGCCGCGGAGTGGCTGGGCCCGTGAGCCATGGCCGCTGAGTCTGCGCGTCCGGAGCCTGTGCTCCGCAACGGGAGAGGCCACAACAGTGAGAGGCCCGCGTGCCGCAAAAAAAAAAAAAGTTTTTGAGAAAGGAGATGAGATAGATTCCAAAAGACTTACACAACATCCTGTCCTATAGCAATTGCTCATAACAAATTAGAACCACTATCAGGGCTGCCAGTATTTCTATCCCACACTCAGACTACATAATATCTGGTATATGTAAAAATGAGGGGAAAAGATTTTATTATCAATAAGCTCAAAGATACTGTTAAAAGTAAGATGCCCAATCACAAGTGACAAATGTCTGATAAAGGAGAGAAGCCAACAAAAATATCAGGGCTCAGGAATCTGAAGAAAGCCTGGGGGAAACCCATTCACTTGAACAAATTCACTGGCCAGCCCTGAGCCTGCCCCCAGGGGCCTGAAGATACCCCACAGCTAGGTTGACAATAAGGCACAATCTGAGACTTAGAATATTCACAGGCTCCTGCAAAAATTGCTTCATTGAAAAAATACTACGGTTTTAATCTGGATATTCATTAATAACTTGAAAAACTAGGTACATTATTTAGCTCTTAGATTCTCAGATATACACATCCAACTTAAAATCCTTTACTGGTAAAACTGGCTTGGGGAGCACATCAGCCTTCCATAGATACTGCCAGTATAGACATTTCCTGATATTGTCCCAGACACCACAAAAGCAATGTATCAGATCAGAAATTCTGAATGAATCATTTCCCCCTCCTCCTGTTTACACAGTCATTCAAAGCCCAGCTGATTTCCAAGCACTGAACTACAAATGCTATCTCTTTCTATTGTAATATGCACCTGGCTTTCACATAAGATATACTTATTATGGCTGTTTCAATTGTGATAATTGTGGATAAGCTCGTTTTCTGGATTTCTATTAGAGATTTCAGAGAGTCAGGAAGCTACTTTGGCTAACTATAGTATAAAGAGAATTACTTACTTAAAATAAGGAATACTTTAGAATGAACTTGCAAATTAATTGGAGTTTATCATTTTGGAATGTGAACTGAATGTGGCTATATTTAGTTGTTTATATATAAGTGTACAAGACTTCTAAAATATAGTAATATACTACCTTAAAATAAGTTCATGCAAATTTAGGGACAAAAAAGTATGTTCTTACACAAGCCATCACTTCAGGTGTTCACAGAGTCAAAAAATATATATTTGAAATTATCTACTTTTCTGTTGCTAATGACAGTCATGCTGACAAAATTCATTAGTTCATCAAACTATAGAGCAAGAATATGATTTATTTGTAATAAATTATCATTTTTGCATATATCAGTCAAAGCACAAGGCCTAAATACTTGCAAACAAAATGCATTATTAATTTAATTGTCACAGCCTATTTAGCTAACTTCTATTACTATTTGCTATAATATGCAATGCATAAGAGGGGAGAATCAAATTCAAAACACAAAAAGAATAAACTGATTATATTGTCCTAGAGAAATTAAAATATAGCAAGCTTGCAAAACTATGGCCAAGGCATTAATGTTTTAAGTAGGTAAGAAAAAAATGTTTAACTTAATTTAGAGAACAGTTATGCCCAAAGTGATGGTTGAATATGCTGATAAAGAGTTTCTTTGTTTCCTAAGACTGTTAAAAGGCATCAATTCCCTCTGCAAGGAATGGAGGAAGGTGGACTGGAAGGAAGGAGCCTTACGGTATTTACTGTGCTAGATTTTGCTACTTAAATCTTAGCCTTCTCCAGCTATGGACGTCTACTGGGAAATTATGCTGCGGCTGAAGCCCTGGTATTCCAACTCAGTATTTCTATCAGGAAGAGAGAATGCCCTATCTATAAACAGATATCATAAACAAGAGGTCCTCTGAAACACAGAATTTTTGGTAGGAAAAACAATTCAGTCTAATGTCGAATGTAGATGAACTCTGCACCTGGACTACTTAGAAGGTAATAACCCAGAAGATGAGGAATACTTTCCCATTTGAGACTCATCTCCTCATCTGAGGACAAAAATCATATAAAAATTGGAGAAAAAGCTTACCATACCTCAAAGGCTAAAAAAGACATGCAATCTTTCTCTTGCCTCTTTTTAGCCTCTCTTTTTGTATTAGGGACTGAAATGAGTGAAAGCAACAGACAGTTATCCTGGAATGCACAGGAAAAGGTAAATGGAAAAACCTAAGAGTACAACTGGAATTTTCAAACTCCTAGCACCACATATAGGAGGTATCTACTGTTTTTAAGGTGCTTGGAGGATAAATATATGTTTAAGATGTTGAATTTTTCATTAATATGAAACCATATGAACAGACATACTCAAATTTTTAAAATGCCTAAATAAAAAGCAAAAATGATACATTTGAGTTCAAAATGTATACGAGTTATATAGTAGGGAAATATTTTATTTTTACTAATTATCTGATCTAGATTGTTTTCATTCAAATTTATTGTGTGAATAAAACACCCTAAGTACCTATATGTAAAGATTTCAACGTGAGATAATATAATCAGTACACAGAAGAGCACCAGAATTAGGAAAATAACAATTCCAACACTTATTAATGATGAGATATTGAAGGAATTGTTGTATATTCCTGAATCTGTCTTTAGTTCTATAATAGAATAACAATGCACCACTGATAATGTCATATAATGATTAATGAGATAATGCAAATGAAAGCAACAAGAACACAATAACTACAAATGTTTTGTTTCTTAAATACTTACAAAACATAACTTTGACAGGTTCCAAATTACAATTTAAATAATACAAAATCTTTTGAATTTCAAGAATAATGCATTCAGGATCTGTTCAACACATAAATTTTGTCTCGAGTTAAATATAATGTTACAAAGAAAAGTATGAGAAACCAAAAGGCAGAAAGTAGGCATATGTAACACTCCAATATTCTGACACAGTAGTCATGTCCAAACTAAAATGCTAAAGAAAACAATATGCCACCAATAGAAAAGTCAAGCTAAATTCCTTGTAAACATAGAACATATTGATGAGTATTTTAAATCTTTTAAAAATTTATTAAACATTTACAAACATGGCAGAAGAAGCCCTAGGCTATACAATGATAGAATAAATTGCATCATGACTGACATTTTCAAATAGTATTTAAAACAAAAGTTTCTAGGAGTGTCTGCAGAATTTCAGATACCATCTTGGAGGATTTGGGGAAAGCTGAAAACCTACCAGGTCTTTGAAGGAGGTGAGGGTGCTTGCACTAGTGCTGAGGGAGCTGCACATTTTAAAGATTTAAGAGTTTCAGAAGTAGCCAGGCTCACCTGGTAGCTGACATTGCTGTATTTCAGTTCACCTAATATAATTAAGTCTATGTGATGAAGCTAATTATGATACAGTAGCAAGAAAAAAGAAAACCTGGCAGTTGATGACACAGTAATTGTAGTGTTATTTTTCATGACATGGCAACCGTAGTATTATTTGGAGGATGACACAAGATGTATTTCTTTTTTAACATCAGCAATGTTTAATTCTACAGTAAGAATTCAAAAAATGTTATTTTAAAACCTCAAAATAAAAATACACAAAGTTCAAATGAAAATAGTTTGGTTTTACATATTTATTTTAGCTCATTCTGATGCATTTGCAGAGGTCAATTCCCTCCAATTTAACTCTTCTACTGTTTCAAGGTTGTTTCACAAATTCACAAATTCAAATCCCTCAAATCTTTTCAAATATTCTTAGATTGAATTTTCTACAATTAAAATGCAACATTAAATTCTTATTGGAAAAGACGCAGATGAAGAGAACGGACTTGAGGACACAGGGAGGGGGAAGGGTAAGCTGGGATGAAGTGAGAGAGTGCCATGGACATATATGCACTATCAAATGTAAAACAGATAGACAGCTAGTGGGAAGCAGCCGCATAGCACAGGGAGATCAGCTAGGTGCTTTGTGACCACCTAGAGGGGTGGGATAGGGAAGGTGGGAGGGAGACGCAAGAGGGAGGAAATATGGGGATATATGTGTGCATATAGATGATTCACTTTGTTATACAGCAGAAACTAACACAACATTGTAAAGCAATTATACTTCAATAAAGATGTTAAAAAAAAATCTTATGGGAGAATGGCATAAAATATGATATTCAACAACAGAGTACCACTAATGTAGAACATGACAAACTGACTTGATAAAGTTCTAGGAGTCACCCCACTAAACAAAATCTAAAATGAAAACATAATTATATTAGTTAAATTTTTTAAAAATGGATGAAAATTACCTTTCTTTTGGTGTGCCAACTCCATGTTTTCCCAGTAGATGAGTATTTAGGTGTTTCTTCATTACAAAAGCAACCCTAAAAAAAAAAAAAAAAAGTTATTATAGAACTAAAACTTAACTCTCTGCTAGAAATACATACTAAATTTTTAAAAAATAGACATGGATTTTATATATAAATATATATATGTAACATGAATATATATTTGTAACATGAAAATGCACATTACAGTGGCACTAAATTCTAAGCAGAAAGCTTGCATACAGATTAATATACTGCAATACCTGAAAACCAGAAGAAATAACGGCATTTAAATTCACTGGTTCATTTTCTCACTTGAGTAGACGAACAGGGACCAAACCAATGATTTTAGTTCTTTAGTCACTGTCTTCGCTGTCAGTTAGTAAGAAAGATAAAGCAACACCTCAGTATCACATTCCCTGCCCCTTAGTTGATCCCACACTTCAATCATGAAATGAGTTTGAGAAAATGTCATTTTATTAAACATTTAAGGGACTGTAAAAGAGAAAATGAATAGCCTTCATGAAGCTTCCTTAAAAACATGGTAATTATTTAGAGAGGTTTTTTAAAATGATATAAATGTTTACCATGTCTGCAATACAAGCAAAAAAAAAAAAAAAAAAATGTACTTAAGTGCCCAGAAGGTATCAATAACTAAAACAAGCAAAAAGTATTACCTGACATGCTATCTTATTTTACATACAAATCGGATCACTTAATTCAATTTTGTTGACATAGATATGAAATGGACAGGAATCAGGAGCCAGTGCATAGTGCACCATCCTTCTGCATATATAGAGTACAACACAATTTAATTACGTCGTGTGAGTATTTAAAACAATTTAGATCTCATTCAGAAGCATCAGACTAAAATGGCTCTCTTGATAAGCAAAGAAATTTTACTATTGTAACTTTCAGTGTAAAAGGGGCTTGCAAACATTTTTGTTAATTACGTATTACAGCTGTCCTTCATAAAGTTACTAATAGCTGAAAGGCAACAGAATCTATTTGCATATATACATGAAAGGCATGACATGTGCAAAAATATGATTTTAATTAGCATTCTATGATATAAAGGGCTACAAATCAAATTGGCATGTTATAAGATTCTTACCATTAAACACTGAATTCATCTGGACGTGTTTGCACAAACAGGCAACACAAGACTATAAAGTACTGTGGCCTTATGGAAGAGATGTGTGTCAAAAGCCAAGACCAAAATGTGAATGCTCCTTTTCATGTCTGGTCTATTTTGGTTATTTTCGTATAATATTAGGGAACCTCAGTTTTGAGGCTAAAATAATATGTTTGTATTTTTTTAATGACTGAGTCCATTATTCAAGTAATGCATTTGTATAACACTAAAAATAACATTCATTCTTTTCTCTACACTGAGTAACAATGATGGACAACACATGCTTTACAACTATAAATAACCAATCATACCACCAATCCATAAAATGAAAAAATGATTATTACATACAAAGAATCAAACTGTGATGATGTTAAGTGCTTAACAAAAATTACAGTATAAGATATTCTATATTTGTTTCTGTTTGATTTGAACAAAATAAATAATATTTTTCATTTCCTTAAAAAAGAATACAGCAATAACAACAGTCCATTTAAGTCATAACTTCCCTACTGTCCTCTATTTTCCTATAATTAAAAAAACATAAAGCTAATAGCAAAGAGCAAAGGTTAAGAACCCAGAGTTGCAAAGCACAGCTTATTTATATGACCAAGTATAATTTAAGAGATCTGAGCCTAGAAACCACAGTGTAGCTTTTAAAAGACAAAAATTTTATTAATTAAAATGTTTCAGGTTTAAGAAGTAAAACAAAAATATTACACTGCACAGGGGAACAAACTAAAGTACACAGAGAAGGAAAGCTTCTTCTTATAATTTAACATTCTGACATAATCTGCTGCATGTCTATAATACTAAATTATCCAGAGGAATAACAATTTTTTATTATTATGGGGAAGAATTTACAATACTAAAACACAGCTCAGTTGTAGTCAAGTGCAAAATATTTATTCATCCAAAACCCGACATAAAGTAACCATAAATTCTTTTAATTTGGTCTAACTAAAGTGTGTGTAGTGTAAAAGTCTCAACATCGTCCACAGTGAAACAATATGAGCCAAGCATGACCGACTAAAATAAACTTACCAACCTCCGCGGATAATAAGACTGCCAGTAATTTGTGTTTACTGAACGGAGCCTATCCTTCACTGCCACCATAAGAGTATTAATATTTTAACATAATGGTTGTTTTGGAAAATTTATAATCTAGATACCACCAGAAATAAAACAAAAATAATCCTGAATCTGAAAAGCTATACAACTGAAATGCCTTGCTCCCAACGAGCACACGTGACTTAACACTTTGCTAGTTTCCACTCATTCACTGGTGACTATGTACCAGCCATGGACAGGTTCTGCATGTAGGATGCAAAATGAGACAGTTAAAGTCGCGTCTTCACGGAGCCTCCCTTCTATAACCTGTGGCTTCTCATCAGGACGAAGCAGCAGCACTCAGCCTGCCACGCTCCCGCACGGACTCCCCTAATCATGTGTGCACAAGCTAATGCGTGTGCTAAAAGCAGGACCTACCCTAGACAGGAACGGTCTAGGCAACTGTGGTACACAGGTGATCAAACAAAGAGAGGTCCCTGCCTTGGAAAACGTAAAACCTAGTGAGGGAAACGGATGACAAGAACAAAAGCTACAATACAGAGCATCTTAAAGAGTGAAGAAAAGTGGTGGGAGAAAAAACAAAATAGAGAAGGAAGAGCTGAAACCTCAGCAGGGGATCAGCATTTTACATTTGGGTGGCTCAGGACTGCGGTGGCGAGCTGGGTATTCCACCAAGCAGGGGGCAGCAGGCCACAGAAGGAAGGGCAGCCACGGAGCCCTGGGGCACAAGCCCGTGGGGCCGTCCGCAGTGGAATGCGGAGCAGAGGAGGGACGAGGTGGTGGCCGGGCACTGGGGGAGGTACCAAGCTCCTAGGCCACACAGCCTGGGCTGGCACTGAGTGAGAAGGAAAGCGTCGCAGGCGTCCGAACAGAGGACAGACGTGCGGGACTCGCATTTTAATAGAGTCCTCTAGCCGTTCTGTTTAGCACAGGCTGCGGGGGCAGGGGAAGGGGGCGGTGCGGGGACACAGAGAGAGGGAGGAACTAACTGGCCCTTGCAATAATCCAGGAAGAGGTGACAGTGCTTTGGACCGAGGGCTAGCGGTAGAGAAGAGATCTGGTCAGTTTCTAGAAACGTATTTGTGATTAGAACCAAACATTTCCCTAGGGACTGCACATGGAGTCTGGAGGAGAGGAATCAAAGACATCATCAAAGATTTCGGCCTGGGAAAAACTGAGCTGGTCTGAAGGAGAACATCATTTTAGGACATGTTCAATGAGGAAGCCCACTGACATCCAAGACGGGTCTCTAACAGGAGGCTGAATCTACTGGTCTTGAGTTCAAGGGCAAGACTCATGCTAGAAATATATACTCCGAAGCTATCCATCTGGCAAGTGCCTAACAATCTAAAGGAACACCTTGAAATAATAAAAAGTAGTGCTGTTTAAAGTATGATTGATTTCCAAGTATCTATAACTGCCTGAAACAGCATCATTTGAAATTGTTTTTGGTGTCAAAAGAACAGCACAACAGTAGCATTTGCAAACTAGCTACAGATTTCTACTTTTTAGTACAAAAATTTCAGATTTGAACTCCTAATTTTAAAATAATTTTTCTTACACTATATGGAGATAGAATACAAACCTCTTCCTTCAGCCCCTCAGATTTTCTCACTGCAGAATTATTTCACTTGTGAGTCACGAAAGATCATCTGACTCACCTATGAAAGCAAATACAATATAAAACCGTGACTACAGAGAACAGGACGTGAAAATCAGGAGACACCCAGAGCCACAGCACCCTTGCACTCCCACCTCACACAGTGCAAGGCAGGGTGCTCAACTCAGGGGCCAAAAGTCAGGTTTGCACAGGCTGTGCTTCTCCTGAACTCAAGGCAAGAGAAGCAGCAGCAGCAACAGCAGCTTCCCTGAATTTTTATGTTGTTTGTTTCCCTCATCTGTCGAATAAGGTCAGATACTCCTGAAAGACAGGCCTATAAGACACAGTATCCAACTCCTCAAAAATTTCTGATGATCAGGTCCATGTAGGCACTATAGGTTACAGGAAAGAAAGTGCATTTGCTGCTAAGAAGTTAAAATCTAAACACAATAAGTTAAAAGAAAATTTCTAAGAACTCATTACTATCTGACTATGATGCGTGCACCGTCACTTATCCTTTTAGTCTTAATGAGGGATCTGTAGTAATCCACCCATTTCTCCCAGCTGGTCCCCCTCTACACCAGTGCCACACACCTCGCAAACAGCTTGTCAGAGCACAGGGGCCACACAGTGAAAAGCTGAGTGGACCAAACAAGAATATAATTGACAGTTTTTCATCACTGCTGAAGAAGCAGAAAATTTTAAAAAACAACAGCAAGCTGCAAGTTTAGCCGGCCAAGGCTACCTGAGGAACAAGAAACAAAGTCCTCGCAAGCAGACGCTTGTGGCCATGTTCCTGGTCAAGGCTGGTTAACTCCTCAGGTTGGGTTGACCACGCAGCATTTGTCCCCCTGGTAGCACTTCAAGTACAAGTGAGAACAGGTGACTCCTGTCAGGGCTCTGCCATTTACGGCTCCTGTAACTTTGAGAATTTTAAGAACACTCTCCGAGTAGCAGTTTCCTCAGTTGAAACATGAGAAAAGCAATACTTCATAGGAGTTTTGTGAGAGTTAAATAAAACAACATAAACACAATGTGGCATGAGAAGCAGACAAAGACAACTTAATAAATAATAGCTAATATTAGTACTGCTATTTTTAGAATAGTGTCCGTGACACAGTTACATCTAGAAAAAAAATAGTTTAAGGATTTCAACTCTGAAAGCCTCCATTCCTTTGAGCCAGCTCAGATAGCATCTTAACTGATATGCATAACAACTTAAATGAAATTTCAGCAGATGCAGCAAGACTACCT